CTCTGTGTCCTTCTTGTGGGCTGTCTTGGTTCTCAATCTGGCTCAGTAAGAAGTTAGACCTGGTGAAGGATATGAAGATCAGGCACTTTTAAAACACATTTGGGGTGGGGGTAGGAGGGATTCAGTTTAGAAACACTTAGATGTTAGGGCTGAACCAGAGTTAGAAAAGAAAATAAATAGGCAAGATCTTGGTTACAGAAGAGAATTTTGAGACCAGGCTATTTCAAGAGGGCTGAATAGAGAAGGGGAATTTCCTAGTGTGAGTGCAAACGCTCTGTGACTCAGATCACATGGAAGGGAATGCCATTTTGAGAGCTTTTGAAGAGAAACAGGAGGGCAGAATCAGTTATCTGATGTCAGGAGAGTTTTCCGAGACAGATTCTATCCTGTTAAACACTGATTAGTAGAGAGGACCAACTGAAAGCTCTCAGAATGAATTGGCCATATTTTCAGTCCGCCCATTAGGGTAAAGCTGGAGAGGCTGAAACCTGGGCTATGTTGGGAGTGTGTGCTGGGGTAGTGGCGGGGGGTGTTGGAGTAGCACAGGCTTCTTTTCTGCTTTACACTTGTGGTGAAACAAACTTAGTAAGGAAATGGTAGGGTGGAAAGCAGAGGGGAAAAGGAAGCCCTGCCGTTGTCCCTGATGACCATGCAGGCAGAACCACTGTGATTAAGACTTTTGAGTAGAAGTATGATGGAAGAGGAACTTAAATAGCAGCTGGACACTTTGGAACATGCAGCTCCGCATTCCATACTCACAGAAAATAGCAGATGAGCCCCAAACCAAACTTTCAAAACTTAAAAATGGTAGTTGCAGCTGTTCAGAAATGCACAGTGGATGTCCTTGGTGCTGGTCAAAGTTTGGTTCTCGGTGAGCAGCAGCCACGTGGCTGATCTGGAAGTCATGGAAACATCAAGATGTCCTTATTCTAAAGACGCAGCTAGAGGATGGAAGACATGGAGAAATCTCTGCTTTTCATGTGGTGGGGCAGAAACCATGCTTTTCTCCCATGTTATCATCGTTATATCGTAACTAACTGTTCATTCCCGTGTGTGGTAAATGACAATGCTGACGTGGTCACAAAATAATGAGAAGCACATGGGCCATGGCTGCTTTTAACTAAAAACTTCTCTAGAGGTTTATTTAGGTTCCATAATTATAGAGAGATTTGGAGGCCTGGCATGTGGCTTTAGTTTATGGTTATAAATGTTGGCCTTGGGGATGAGTATGGGCCAGTGTTGCCAGGGAGGTAGAGGAGTGCATCCAGGAAAGGGCTTGTGTTCCTTGGGCAACTCCCTTAAGTCATTAAAAAAGAAAGTGGAGATCTGTGTTTATAAGAAGTATGATGACATCATACTGTACTTAAGGTTGGTGTGTCTGCAGAGCAAGTCAACTTTTGAAGGGCTGAAGTACTTTGGTAAATTTTCATGTCATTTGGAAATCAGTGGCTCTCTAGAGTCTTGAAAGAAGAAATACCCATTTTAACCTTTATCTTATGTTAAAGTTATACATTTTATTAGATGAAAGAAGCTCTTAAGTAAAGTACAGTTGGTCCTCTGTATCTATGGAGTCTATCAGTCTTTGATCAAAAATAGCAGGAAAAACATTACATCTGAACTGAACATGTGCAGACTTTTTCCTTGTCACCATTCTGCACACAATGCGGCCTTATTATAGCATCAGCATTGTAGGAAGTGTTGTAAGTCATCTAGAGATGACAAAGTATGCCGGAAGGTTTGCAGATGTTATTTGTAAATACCATACCATTTTATATAAGGAACTTGAGCATCCACTGGATTTGATGGCCAGGGAGAGTGGGGCAGAGGAATGAGAGTAGGCGCTAGAAAAAGTCTTCATAGATTCTGAAGGGTGAATAAATTTCTGTCTGGGCAGACAAGAAAAAAAAAATAAGTGTTTAGCTTAGCTGTTTTGACTTGCAGCGAAATTCTGACAGAATCATTTTGTCACCTTCCCCAGCCTTTTGTGTCTGTGTATACATGCGTCAAATTCTGTTCCTCAGCTTTGAAGTAATTTTCCATTACTTGGAATCTAGTAATGGTATAAATATAAAGGTAAATTCTGTCTTGGGACCACTGAGCAGAATTAAACAATTTTTGAAAAATTTAGTAAATATATGTGTTTTCCTGCATTGTTTGCCAAAGATGATAATGAAAGTGGTAACTCTGAACTACTGTCTGGAAGTTGGCCTAAAGGATGCTTTCCTTCCCTGCATGAAGGTTATGGAAGAAACAAATTTCCACATATTTACCATTCTTCATGGAGCTCATTCTAGTACTGACTGTGCCCCTGTTTAGAGAGAATGCACTTGTTTGTTCATTGATCCATCCATTCATTCACTGGTGCGAATTGCATTTTAGTTTAGGCTTAAATCTGTGTGGATAACACAAAGATTAATTGTATAGAAAACCTCTCTCATACAGGAGCTTATATTATGGATGGGGGTAACAGTATGTGCACATAATCAGTTGTAATACAAAAATGTTCTGACATTTATTCAGGCGCTGATAGTTCCAAAACACCGTTATACACTTTGATCCTCTAAACACACATAATTGGCTACATTGTCCTTTTTGTCCCTAAGAGATGGCTGTTCAGCCAGTGCAGGTGACCTGCTAGAGGTCATATAGATGGTGAATTGCTCATCTGTGGCCCCAGAGTTAATTCTAACACGTGCTTTGCCTCCATATTCTCCTCTGCTCTGTCCTGCTGTGCAGTGCTGTAGAGGGTGCTGCTGGCTTTCATCGAAGGAGGCAGGATGCTAGAGAAAGACAGCTAAGGCTGCTGATCTTCTGTGGACAGTAGACAAGGCTTTCCTTATGCAGGGATGATTAGATGGGCCTTGAGGAGCAGAAAGAGATCAGTGTACATTGTTCAGTAGAATAACCTAGAGCAACCTTTTAGTACCTATACCACTATTTTTTATTATACTTCACCTTTATCTGTCTTTCTTACTTTTTTCATTTATTAAATAAATGCACTTACAAATACAGATCTATAGTCATGTTAATGCTAAGGTTATTAAATAGGACTGGGGCAGCTTACCTCTAGGATCACACAACAGTCCAGGCTGGAGATAATATGGGAGCAAATCCTTAAGAGGACATGGTGACAGGGATGATTGTGGTTCGTAGTGTTTCTGGGTTGTAGCTATGGCCATCTTGAGAAATGGACTGTGTGCTTCTCATCCCATTTCTCAGAATGTTTTTCCTTAAGGAGATCACTTGGAGAGCTACAGTAGATATTAAATCAGAGAATGAATAGAGGGGCAGCTCACCCAGCTCCTTGTACTTTGAAGGTACCCAATAAATACGTTGCCAATATAATGCTTCCATGGGCCTTGTAAAGAAAAAACAATGTCCTTGAGTGGTGTGGGAAGGCCTACCCAGCTGGAATCTCACTGACTAAATTTGAACGCTCCATGAGTCGTAATGTCTCTGCTTCCACCTTGTTCTCTGCCTGCTCCCTTATCACCCTGAAGGTAGCGATGAAGAGCGTGGTCAGTTCTGGCTCTACCATTTCATATTAGCAGTGTGAGTTGGCAAGTTACATTCTTGTTTGTGCCTGTTGCGAAGTGGTAGATGAGTAAGCATAAAAGGTTGTAGACAGTTCTAGCACATGGTGAATGGAACAGTTGGCTTTCATTACTGTCTGGTCTTCCCATTCCCCTGTGTACAGTACTGAGATGTGACTCCTACACCTCTTTTCTTAATTTGGTAACCACCCGCCAAGCTTATCTCCCCTTCTTTTTTCTGCCTTCTGACAATATGGAACTGCTTATAACCCCTCAGGCAAGTCTACCTTCATCATAGTCTAGCCTTTGTTTATCCTTCAAAGCCCATCACCTTGCAGATTCATTCTTTGGAACTAATTTTTCTAGCACTCCCAAGTTTCTTTATTCCAGTCTCTGCCCTACCCAAGTCTGTCTTGCTTTGAAATTCTCTTTTACATCATCACCAGGCTAAGCTATTCCTATTTGATGCTTCTTTTGTGCTTCTGACTAAATTCACAGAAGTGGCTGAATATTATTTTTGTATTCCCAGCATGTTCTTGACACACAGTCAACTCTCAGCAAATACTTGTTAACAAATGAAAAGTAAGAAATTTACAAAAGCATCTTATTGTCCAGATTAATTAGTTAGAGAGGGTAAAATTTACCTTATTAGTATACCTGAGGAGTGATGGGTCAACAGGAGGACTAGCCTGACTGTCTTTTATAGGGGACCTCTGACATCATATGGTAGGGTAAGAAGCTGGGGAACCCAAGACTGGACAAGAAGCGCAGCAAACTCTGTAGTATCTGGTGGACCTTTGGTTCCGTCATGTACTGTGAAGGTCACTGTTCTGTATTTAGCTTCGTGATGGTAACATCGACTATGTGGTATTTGATAGTGTTTTTCTAATGATGGGAAATTTTTCCCCCTTTCTTTATCATATTGAAGCCTCCATGTGTTGATAATGGTTTCTGTATTATGTTGAAACTTCAGCGTCCCAATATTATCCAGTTGTGGGCAGCTGATGTAACATTCTCTCCTTGGTTCTCTGAATTATGTAGATTTTAATAGAAAGAGCCATACATATAGCATGAGGGTTAAATAAAGCTTAGATTTTGAGCATAAGTCAGTGTCATTTGCTTAATAGAGAATGATTGGAAAAAGGTAAATAGCCTGCAGAGGATGGATTTATCGATTTGTGTGTGTGTGTGTGTGTGTGTGTGTGTGTATTTTAAATTAGCAAGGTAAATGTTTACTATTTCGACTGACAGGGCTGTCTATCTCTGGAGTAGATGCAGCCCTGGTCATTGTTGGGTCAGAGTTTTTATAGGGTTACAGAAATATTATTCAAAAGGAAATACAATGTGATGACTTACCTGTTTTCTAAAGCAAATCACAGAGGCCTTTAAAGAACCCAGAGTTGTCTGACGAGTACACACTAGCCAGCTGAATTCTAAGGCTTTTTCCCCCCTCATTTTCTCCTGCAGCTTTGCCCTGTCAGATGAAGCATATAGATCCCTCCGTGATCAAGATAAAGACCAGTGCATTCTCATTACTGGGGAGAGTGGAGCAGGAAAAACAGGTGAGGCCTCAGCAGCCAGGCGTTCACAGGCTGCTGTGCAGGGGCTGTGATTCTCCCAGGTGGTGGTCTGTGGGGAGAATTGGCATCATCGCTCATGTGAAGGGGCCAAAGTGCCTTCAGTGGTTCCAACCAGTGTGGGTCCCAGAGGTGGATTCTGATTTTGATTTCATTTTTGAGACAGGGTCTCCTTGTAGCCTCACCTCAGCTGGCCTAGAACTCACTATGTAGATCAGACTCGGTGCAATCTCACAAGGATCCGCTTGAGTCTGCCTCCTGTGCTGGAATCAAAGGTGTGCACCATCCACCAGGCATTGGATTCTGGTTTTTATTGGCACCATCTGTGGGTCCCTCAGGCTTTGCCTTTCCTTGGTTGTGTGACCTTAGAGAGTTGACTACTTCTTAAGGAGTTGGTAAATTATTCAGGTTTGGGGGAGTTACAACCATACCCTTTCTCTGCTAGAAAGTGAAGGAAGGTACCAGCAATGCTTAATTTCAATCTACAATCTCCTGATGCCTAAAGAACTGTTATGTGTAATTGTTAGATGCCTGGCAACTAACCAGAAAGTCTGTGCTGCTTTTCTTGTGCTTCTAATAAATGGAATTCTCTTGATGTATGGTCTTGAATAAGAGAGTGATTTTACCTCTCGTGTCCAAATACTTGAAAAGATTCAGAAGTACTGCATTCTGCATCCAGATTTGGAAAGAATGAAACTGCAGCAGACATTGGTTTCTTTGATAAAGTGAGTATGTCAGTGCAGGAGGGGGGCAGAGAAGGAGGGATTTTCCAATCTTCCTTGTTTATCTGTGAAATACATCATAGATGAGAATCTCATAATTGGCCATTTTAGTATGCAGAAGTGGAATTTTACGTGTACCTTGCATAGCTATTTAATGGTCAGACTTACACTTTTTTGAGTCCTCATTGATCAAGAAAAGAAAGCTGAATTCTAAGGCTCCCCCCCCCCGACTTATTTCTTCTACTATCACTGCTGTTCAGTTAGCTTCACTAAGTTCATTTTATCCATGCCTTGAAAGCCTTACTATCTGTTTTGATTCAACTTTTCCCTGTAGTCTGACTCCCTCCTCCACTTCCTCTAGGAGTACCCCTTCCCTACAACCTACTGTAGTGAATAGTGAGTGGCTAGGTAAGTGTCCGTTTCCCTTCCCTGAGCCCCTTGGAAACAGTGTACTGTTTCTTTGTTGGGTCGTGTAGGCTTTAGGTGTTGAATGGGCAGAAATGCAAGATAAAAGACTTGGCATGTAAGAATCCCAAGTCACATAAACACAGTGTCGTTCAGTTGGAAGACATGTTAGTTATAGCCGATCTCATGTAAAACCCTCCACATGGGACAGCTAAACTCCTTTTATAGTGATGGAAGGCCCATAGCTTTGTAAGGTGATTTCATGGATTTGTCATACAGATTCAGCTGTCTTTTAAGTTTTTCTTCACTTCAGTTGAATTGAATTCTATTTCTGCCCATTGATTTTTAATTCTCAGTAATTTTACCAAATTATTATTCTTTCTCCTTTTCACGACAGTCATTCAGTTATTTAAAGTCATATCTTATATCTAAAAGTTTTTTTTTTTTTTCTCCCAAAATGCCTCATGTGATAGAGTCATTTATTCATTCATCCAAACTTCTGGGTATCTACTTGGTGAAACATACTGTGCTAGGTACTAGTGATACATTGATGAGCCAAACACCATCCTTGACCTTATGAAGATTGTGGGCCAGTAGGGAGAAAAACAACGGCACTAGACTACATGTGCAATGCATATGTATGCACATATATATAGAAATTGCTTATATAGCCCGAATGTGAAGGAGCATTTCATGGAGATTCTGAGAACATACGACCATTATTCAGCCTTGTTATGGAGTTGGAAAGCATGTCATCCTACTTCCTTCCCTTCTTGTATTTTACAGGCAGATCCATTTTCTCATCCCATCGGGCTGCTCTTCCCTTTCTTTGGGTTCACATGGAGACTCTAGTCCAAACTGCCAGCCATTATCTCCCCTAACAACTGTTGATAGCCACTGTACAGGGTTTCTTGTTCTCTTGTGTACCCCATCCCCCATTTATGGACACTTACCTTTGGCTACTAGATCTCTTTTTTTTTTTTTCACTTATGATTTTTTTGTTTGTTTTGTTTTTTCGAGACAGGATCTCACTATGTAGCCTGGCTGTCCTGGAATGTACTATGTAGACTGATTGGCCTCAAACTCACAGACATCTGCCTGCCTCTGTCTCCATAGTCCTGGAATTCAAGACATGTGATAACTTTAACATGACGGGATCTTGGGGACGTGCTTTCACCCTTCACTTGTCACTTACCAGTTCTTTCACAGGACACAAATTAGTTCTTCGAAGTAACACAGTGTACTGTCTCAGGGTGACCAATGAAAATGGTGGCAAAGGATACAAAACTGTTTAGAATGTTGATGTGTTTATCACCTTAAAACATTTATCATTTTCTTGATAGACTGGCACCATCCTTTGAAATATTCTGGAAAAAAATTCATTTTGTACCCTTTTTTTGTTCAGAATGTAGCATTATCAGGAACCCTCAAAAAAAGATAAAATAAAATTTGTCATTTTTATTTTATATGTATGAGTATATAGCCTGCATGTATGTAAGTGCACCCATGTTGTGCAGTGCCCATGGAGGTCAGAAGAGGACATTGGTTTCTCCTGGAACTGGAGTTATGGATGGTTGTTAGCCACCGTGTGGGTGCTGGAGATTGAACTTGGGTCCTCTGCAAGAACAGCTGGTGCTCTTACTCACGGAGCCATCTCTCCGGCCCCACAGTTATCACTTTTTTAACATAATGAGATGTTTTTATTTTGCATGTTGACTTACTTGTTTATTTGCTTTATTTGTTAGCACAATTCTGAATATTAGAGAAAAGAAGTTGGTGGCAAGGTACGTCCCTTCCCAGCAGGCATTTGTATTCTTGCTGCATTTCATGCCCTTCCTCCTCCCCATCTTGGTTGATTATGTCTGACTGCCCACCTGTTCACTTTTCATAATTTCCTTTTTATTTTTATTTGGAAGAAATTATTTGCTCAATATTATTCATAACTAATGCTACATGGGTTTTTTTTTAGGGTATTCGATTGTAGCAATTTGTTCCTAAGTGAGTCATGAGCAGTGGGTTGTGGTCACTTTGCTTGGTTCTGGCCAGTTCTTCATCTTAGGAGCAGATGCTCTGAAAAACCAGCAGTCTCCTAATTAGCCCTGTCAGTGTAGGACATCCTTCTCAGAACCGTTAGCTCTGCCACTTGTTCCTGGAGCCAGATTCCATCTCCTGGTGGGCTCATGTCTCTTCCTCATTAAAATACTAAGTGGAGGTGGCTGGTGCTGCTTCATTCTGAGGGTTGGCGTTCGTTCACAGCTTCTGAGGGAAAAACAAAGAACAAAACACCCCACTCCATCCTCAGAACTCCAGCAGCTTGGGGCTTGTTCTTCTTTTTGTGAGGATTTCTGTTCAGTAACTATCTTACTGGTTTTCGGTGCTTTGATCACCACTTGGAGTCTTTTTCTTCTTGTGCGCTGTCCTGGATTTATTCCTTCCTCAGGTCCCTTTGCCCACTGTCAGAGACTGGAAGGCAGAGGGTGCTTTACAGGAGTGTCACTCTGTTTGTAGCATACAAGATAGGTGCTGCTCCTGGTGGGAAGGTACCACAGACCCCCAAGAGCAGAGTCTCTCAGACCCTCAGTGGTGAGGTGAAAGGCCTGCCACCAACTGTTGCTAACAGATACTAGTAAAATAAAGTGAAGATGTAGAAAAAGATTGGCCCTAATAGTTTACTTTAGCTCCAACAGACAAAACAAAGTATCAGATCACTGCAATTTTTAAAAGCCTCCTGTCATTCATGGAATGGTTCATGGACAGGCTGTCTTTCAGCAGGACTGGTCCTTGGACCATCTTTTGACATTGTTCAGGATCCCTCAAGCTTTTGTTTTTGAAGTGTTGTACATTAGCCATCATCACCAACCCTGGTAGTGCAGGGAGATGATGCCGTTCCCCAGAGCTGCTACCTTTCAGCCCTGCTCAGCTACACCGTTGGTAGTTGCTGACCTCTTACCCCATCTTTCACTCACAGTTCTCAGTAGCATCTCCTTCTACCCAGTCTCCATAGAGACTTCCAAGTTTGCTGAATTCTTCCTATCTTTTTCTATGTTTGTTTCTTTTCAAAACTAATGGAAGAAAAATGCTTCAAGTTTGTCTATGATTTTAAATAGTCAGTGGACTCTGAAATTGAATAAAGCCTAGAATTTGTATGTTGTTAAAAGCTGCTATTCATGAAGATTATTTATAGAAAAATGAAATGATGGAGGTTAACAATAGAGATTGTAGTGTAGTGGTGTGAGGAATTTGGAGAGGAGAGTTTCATTTTATCTCTGAAAGAGAGATGTCAGATACCATCTTTTTCAGAAGTTTAATGATTTGAATCTTAACCACATGTAGCTACTAAAATTTTTATTATTAAATAAATGAAATGGGGAGAGAGCTGGCCTTTACAGCAGGCCTGGAATGCTCTATGCTCTTTACACAGAGGATTTCTTTTCATTTAGAATCTATACTTAATAGTTTAGATAGAACTACCATGTAGTGTCAGAGGGCTTGTTTTATATGAAGTAATTAATTTAACTAGGTCATAAACCCACCTTGGCAGATGATGATATTATTGGTCTTAAACACTGGAGACACTCTTAAGCTACAGAGTTATATAATATGGGCACTTAGGGAATGGCATGAACTCTTTGAGTGCTTTAGGGTGCTGTTTAATTCATCACTGCTGTGCTAAATAAAAAATTCATCATGCCTCATAAAAGTATTCTAGGCAATGAACTTTAAATTCACTACTGTGAAGTCAGATAATTTGTGGCAAGCTATTCAAGCGTCAGTAGGGGCAGGGAGGCCACACATGAGGGAGCCATCAAATCTGCATTTTTCCAAGGACATGAGAATGAATGTGCCTGAAAAGATGAT